AGAGGAGAGCAGCAAAATTTAAGAACTGAACAGGTTTAAGTAAGCAATGACTCTGCAACATGAATAAACCCAACATTGTAAGCACAGAACAAGGGGAGGAAATATTGGGCTAAGCCAGTGAGAGCTTTTGGGGAGAAGGGACAGGAATTCAAAGCACAGAGTTGTAGCTGTGCTTTAAAATGCTTTAGGTAAATAAGGTCAAAAGACTAAGTAGACACTCTTCTTTTGTTATAAAGCATGTTTAGAGATCAAATATTTGGAAATAAATTTTAAACTAGCCAGCAAAAGTATGTTTCTAAGGCAAAGGAAGAAGAAATGCAGAAGTTTTATCTTGCTAAGTGAAATGAGAACAAAGGCATGAATGGAAAGGGGCAAGGAGGGCAGAGCCAGTGAGAAATTATCAAAGGGTCTTGCTTTGTCTCCATTAGTGATAGATTGGATCATCTTCTCTACCCCATTGTCCCTGCTTTTGAGCTTTTAAAGTGAAGCTGGAGATTTTTTAACTTTAATTCTGTGGTTTTCCTGTGTGAGCCCCAGAGGAGACAGGCACAGTTTAGCAGAGCTCTGAGAACCCATGAACATGAAATATTTGCAAGTATTTCATTGTGTTCTGTGCCTCAGGGCCATGTGCAGGCTCTGCAAATACAGCAGTGGGATTCTGACCCCAAATCTGTTTTGCCAGTGGGCAGAGGGAAATCCAGCAGTAACAATCAGCTGGCAGCCACCCAGCTTGCCTTGGAAAACAATTAGACAACTGTTTTCTGGTACAGAGCAAACTTCTTTTGATGTCTCAGAAAATTATTTCTTCTTCATTTGTACACCTGACACAAATCCTAGGAGCAGCCAGGTACCCTGGATACAAATATTTCTGTCTGAGCAGTTCCCTGAAATCAGGACCTGAAGTTTCTGGTTTTATCCTCTGCTCCGGGTGAAAATTTGGGATCCAAACAACAACAAACATCTAACATTTAACATTTAACAAACAACAACAACATTTTAAATGTTGTAATAAACAACTTTAAAATGCAGAAGTAAGATGTGAGTGCAGATGTAAATATTTCAGCCACCCTGATGCAAATGGAGACAATTCCTTTATTTCTCCTTGGTGATTCTATCCCAGGGATGCTGAAGTGTGGGACAGCTATCTGTGACCTATGGGCAGAGTAACTCAGATTAAGGGATCTGGCCAAGATGCAGCTGAAAGAAACACAGAAATAACCATTAACAAATATCTTAAGTAATATCTTCATAGAATAAATATTCCCAGCCTATCTTGGTTTAATTGTGAGGTGCCAGCCTCTCACTGAGACTTTGCTCAGTCCCTAACACAGGTGAAATTTAAGAGACTTTTCCCAACTTTTAATTACATTCCTGTGCAATACAGCTGTGCTTTGTGCAGACCTTGAGGGAGGTGTAAGGTCTGAGAGCTGTTGTAGAGAGTTGGGAATTAATGACAAAGGACACAGGGTTGGAGTTCCTCTCAAGTACTTGCTCAGCTGTGTAACCTTGGGGCAAATCACTCAACTGCTTTGTGCCCACGTAAACCCAGCTGTAAAACCATCTTGAGAACCAGATGGTGCACAAAGATTTAAAATGCTCAGGAGAATGATGAGGGATGAGAAAAAAAATTAAAAGAAGGAATTCTACAGTTCACTGCTGTTGGTATTGATTCCAGTGGAGTTATCTGGACTAAATCAATAGAACTGAGAGGAGAATTTCCTTTGATATCTAAAAATCACTCCACACCCTCAAATCTTTGTTTTCCCTCTCCCCTCTTGACTTTATGGCAGTACTTTCTCTCTAGAGGGTTTATTTTAAAGCTTCAGTGGAATACATGTTTTCCCCTGGCAGCCTGAAGTTTCTAATTCAGGATCAGGTTCTACATGATTAAACTTTGATCTTGTACAGAATTATTTTTAGGCACTTAATTCTATAGCATTCTTTTCCCCCTGCTTTTTGTGCTGCCGTTCAGCCTTGCCTCTGGGGCACAGTGAGGTCTCCTGGGGCTCAGCTGTTGCACCCCAAATAAAAATACTGAGCTTTATTGCCTTCTGTAGATGGTTAGTCCTGGCTTTAAACCAGTATTTGTACTCCTGGTCAATGAACAAAGGAAATACTAAAGTTTCTGTAGCAGAATAAATGTTTGCCACATGTTAATACCTAAGAGAAGACTTAAATGTTTCATTCTTTTTTGGCTTTAGCCAAAATGTAGATTCTCCCCATCCTCCCCAACCCCTCCCCCCCCCCCCCCCCCCCCCCCCCCCCCCCCCCCCCCCCCAGGAATGTGGGAATACTTATTTGCATAAGGAGTATTTCCCTAAATAAGGAATATTTCCAAAGCAGGGTGTCTTAGTTTGCAAGAGGGGAAAACAATAGATTTTAGTGTAAACAAAGAATATTTAAATATGTGACACATAAAGAATCCATTTTATTGACTACTTAGGGAAGACCTTGCATGTTTTTATTCATCACTAATGAAACTAAAAGGTTTGAATTTTGGTGACATTTCTTCCCAAATTAGAAAGGATTTGAGTAGAAGGAAGTTGCAAACAAGTCAATATCAGCAAATTTAGCCCTTTTTATACAGTACTGAGTGGCAAAATTGTTAATTGCTATTCAAAATTGGTGATCATTTTTCCAACACAAAAATACTTCCATTTCTGTGTGTCTTGCAAACTGCTCTACTCCTTGTTATTGTATCTTTAGACTCAATATTTGAGCCATTGAATCTCTAGATTCAATATTTGAGTTATTGAATTTTCACATTGAAATTTTCATATTATTTTCACAATATTTGAGTTGTGTTATTATTAATTTAAAACACTGAAACTCCATGCCATAAATACCAAAATGCCTGGGATGATTAATGGCACTGCTCAAACACCAAATTGTTAATTAAGCATAAGCCAAAGTAAAAATTCCCTGATATAATTTGAGTCCCTTTTTGGATGATCCAACTTTTCCCCTCCTAATACCACTTGAAACTGAATTGAAAACCAGGTGCAGAGCATTTGTGAGAATGAAAGACTCGTAAATGAATCAGAACATAAGACATTCTCAGATGAGCAGCTGTGGAAAACAATAAATAAAACAGAAAGTGAGCTGTAGATAAGGCAAATCCAGGTGATAAAATCATGGCTAGAGCTGTCTAATATAGGGAAATGAAAAATACAAAGTACATTTTAAAGCCCTGAGCTATACAAATACTCATCAGACTCCATTTCCATTTTTGCTGCTCCTAATGAGGAAAAGGCTGATTTAGCTCAGTCTTGCTAGATGAAACTGCAGCTGGGAGTGTTTTTCCATATCCATCAAACTTGGGTTTCCCCCCAGTGTCCCTGAGTATAAATCACTGAGCTTGACTTCATTTCATGGTGCTTGCATTGCTCATCTGCTCTGTTTGAAGAAGAGGTTGGTGCATCGTGAATTTTACACGGTCCAAGCCCGTTCCTCCCCACTCTCACAGAGTGCTGGGAGCTCCGTGGTGTTGTTACTGGTTCCATAAATCAGTTTATGGCATGCAGCCCCAAAGCCTCAGATGTGCTGAGGCACAACCAGACGCTGCCACTGGGAAATGTCCTGACAGGCTGGGATGCTCTGGGAGCTGTTCAGGGAAGCCCGGGTTTAACAACAAACACTCAAACAACAAAATAATGAATTCCCAAAGCCAAGAATTTCAGGCATCATAAAACCTTTTCTTCTTAAAAACTCCCTGGACAACCTTATAATGTAAATATGTTTCATGGGAAGGCTTTGTTTCTTTAAAAGCATTTTGAACTTGAAGTCTAACTGGTTTGGGAAAAAAAAATATTAAGAGTTTTAGGTGACTTCCTTGTTCTTGATCAGTGAAGTCCATTTTTTGGCAGGTTTTAAATCACTCTGATCTATTTTCCCCTTTTGCCATGTAAGAAACCTTCAGAAAAATGAGAAATGGCATGGAGAAACTGACAACAAAACGCTGCCACAAGTTTGTATTTTGCCCAAATAGTCACTTTCAGAAGCAGTCACTGTACTTTTAAACAAAAATAATTTGAAAAAATAGTGATTTTTAAAAAAAAATCTCCCTTTAAAGAGACACCATAAGGCTTAAGCTTGCATATGTACAAATTTCTCCCCATTGCTCAGAACTCATTCTTTCAATTAATACTTTTCACTATTTATGCTCTTCATTTAAATGAATTTGTTCATTTATTTTCCAGTCTTGCAGTGAAGCAGGTCTGGTCCATTTTCCTTGCTCGGTACAGCTCCCATCACTCTCCTCATGTCCTTCTTCAGTTCACTGCCTGTGTTTGGGAACACAATCATTCCCAAGGCAAGTCTCATCTCTTAAAAGCAGGTTTTCATTCTTTTCATTAACAAAACCCATTTTTTAACACCAAAGCATTTGACTGCACCCCTTTCTAAACAAAACCAAAAAGATAGAATGAATTTGGGACAAACTCTTTTTTTAAACCACAGTTTTGAAATCCCTGCCCCAGAGTGCAAATTCTGTGAGTTCCTTTGCTGAACGAGAAGGGGCTTTTTGAGAACGATGTGAAGACCAAACGAAAGAGTCACTCACAGGACCTGAGAGTCTCTCACAGGACCTGAGATTCCCTCACACAACCCGATGGCTGAATTGATGCCCCTTTTTCCCAGCTTGTGGCCTGTGGGAGCCCAGGGCAAGGGGAATATCCCCCTGTCTGCCCTGGGGTGCTCTGACTCCCAGGAAAACACTGACTTTGACCCTCATTCATGAAGAAAATTTCCAAAACCTCAAGGTAAACTAGAAACCACAGAAGTGTGAAATATATTGCAGAGATTGTAGAGAGTAGTGTAGTACATCACATGGGTGAGAAATTTAGGTTTTAGGATTTTTAGTATGGTATAGATGGGTTCAAGATGGAGGATAGAGGGTGTTGTCTTGAGTTCCTTTCTTGTCTCTTCTTCTTCCTCTTTCTTCTTGGGTTGAGGTGGTATCTTGTAATTGGGTAGAAAAATCCGCATTGCGGGTCTTTAGGGGTCAGTTATTGGGTTAGAAAGGAAAATAATTTAGATGTCACTTCTTAATTGGGTAGTTTAGTTTTTGATTAGGCTTCAAAAGACCTTGCAGCACGAGGTTGTTGGTCATTTTTGTGCTGTTTTCACGCATGCAAGGTCTGGGTGCAGACAGTGTGCTGAAGTCATGATTAGATACCAATAAAACAAGAACCTGGAGACCAAAAATGTCCAATGCGTCTCTTCCTTCCTGACACAGAACTGCTCCAGGAGGATCTGCCCTGCCAGGGGAGCCCCCAGGGAGTTGCCCAACTTGGGGCCCATGAACTCATAGTTGCCTTTTTATCCAGGGCTCCGGAACAAAACTCCTGGGCGGCCGCATCAAAGCGTGGTGGCAGATTTGCCTTTGGAAGTCAGAGCCTGCTTCAAACGCCTCTTCAGGTCCTGCATGTTGGGCGACTTGGGCCGCACCAGGTGGAGACCTCTCCTCTTCTCCCCGTTGCAGCTGCCGCTGCTCCTGCTGAGCTCCTGGCACAGCTGCTGGAAGGCCTCGTGCACGCCCTCGCAGTTCTCCCGCGCCGACACCTCGCAGTAGGTGCCGCCCAGCTCGGTGGCCAGCTGCAGCCCCTCCTTGGAGGACACCTGCCTGGCCCGCAGCAGGTCGCCCTTGTTGGCCATGAGCAGCAGGGGGATGTTGGCGTTGGGGTGGATCCTGCGGATGTGCTGGTGCAGCGGCCGCAGCACGCGGAAGCTCTCGTAGTCCGTGATGGAGTAAACGAAGACGAAGCCGTCGGCCCAGTAGATCGAGCGGTTTATCTGCTCCTGGCAGCAGATGCTGTCCGTGTCATCCTGCAAAACAGGATTTGCACATCAGGGATCTGCGCCAGCCAGAGCTGGGCTTGAACACGGGCCTGTTTGTTAATGTACTGCCAGAAACCTCTCTGAGGTACCAGGGTGTCGGAGTCCAGGACATCCCTCTGCCTGCCCCGGCTGTCTTGAGACCCTGGCAGGGGTCTCAGAGACCCTGGCAAGAAGTCAAAAACACCTGTGACTTTGATTTTAACTGCCATGAAGATGAGGAATTACAGGTCACAAGGGTTTTAGTAGTGTGATATTTGAACCAGCGCAGGGGGAAAAATAGAATTTTGGGGTTTTTAAGATAAGGGGTTCAGGGGACAAGATGGAGGGATTTGGGCGTGTCCTGACCTTCTTTTTGTTCTTCTTGTCCTCCATGTCTTGCTGTGATAGTGGCACTTTTCTATTGGTTTAAGGTAGGGACACACTGTCCAACATAACTGATAGATATTGGAAATAAATTGTAAACATAGTATACGTAACTTTTGATATAAAAGGTAAGCACCACCAAACAGGGGAGGGCAGATGGCCATGGTGGACTTGCTAGCTAGATCTTGGCAGGTCAGAGAAAGAACATATAGACAAGAAGAAATAAACAACCTTGACAGCACAATTGGAAGCATTCCAGGTCCTTTCCTCAGCTGCGTTCAGGGGAAGCAAAGACTCTTTACGATCTCTCTTGGGGTCACCCTGACGTAGGAACCCCGAGAGAGAAATCCACACCAGGGAAATTCCTGGTGTTGGTAGCACTGTGCTGGGTTGGGCAGCCTGGAGAAAAGGAGATTCTGGGGGACCTGGTCACTGGAGCCAAGTGAGGGCCAGGCTCTGCTCCCAAGGACAGGACAAGAGGAAACACCTCAAGCTGTACCAGGGGAGGTTTAGATTGGATATTAGGAGCAGTTTCTCCATGGAAAGGGTGGTCAGGCATTAGCAGGGGCTGCCCAGAGAGGTTTGGAGTCCCCATCCCTGGAGGTGTACGAGGAATGAGTGGATGTGGCACTCAGTGCAAGGTGGGGATCAGTCATGGGTGGGACTCAGCCCTGGACATCTTTTCCAACATCACTGATTCCCTGATTCTCTCGTCCCATACTGCAGGAATGCAGTAACGTGGAGTGGAGAGGGGTCACAGCAAATTGGTTGAAGAGAGAAGCAAAATACTGCTTTGAAAAGTTAGTTCTGTATTCTCTTGTACCCAGCTAGTCAGAAACTCACACTCTTATGGTGGAAAAAACAGTGATGGGCACAGTAAGAGCATTAAAAATCTATCAGGTTTGTCACAGCATGACAAGTGAACAGCTGTCTCTTCAGGTCACTTTTAAGGCTGTTTCCAATTCTTTATTAAATGTCTCCATGGACAGAGGCTCTCAGAAACTCTCTTTGGTGAAGCCTGCCAGGCTTTCCTGCCTTGCAGGTCTCCAGATAGTCAAAGTTCTTTTGAAAAAAAGCAATTTGCTACCAAGAACCAATGACTGGAACTGAAAATCAGGTGAAATCTCATTGGTAATTTGTGGAACAGTGATGGGTTTATATCATTTTTTTCTGGTCACACATTTCTTGAGTTCATTACTACTCCTGTTTAGAGCCCCAACAACCACCAGCTGTGGGAATACAAAGCTGAATAGAGCACTGTGGGCTTGAAAAGAGATCAGCTCACTTGTCAGGATAAAGCTATTTCCAGCTAATCCTCTCCTCTTTGTTATCCCTGCTGGGATAGGGATAACCCAGCCAGAGAGGGAGATCCCTGCTGCAGCCTGCTTGCTTTGGAAGAACTGACACTCCTATCAATATTACATTTCTGCAATGCTGTATTTTTTAAAATATCCTTTATTCTATCATTTTTTAATATCCTTTATGTTGCATTTTATATAACAAGCATATTCTGTGTACAGCTCTTCATGAAGCTGATAGAAATTGCATATTTTAAGGGGAGTTCAGCATCACAAATACAGTGCTCTATTTTTTATTATTGTTGCTAAATTCCACCCAAGAAATTTTCATCAACTTCAGTAAGACTAATAGAAAACATATTCCATTATCTATTGATCTATAGAATACATATCTGCCATTCACATTAATTCTAATAGAATTTAGTGGTCAGCACTCTCCCCAAACAGATCTCTTTTATTTAGACCTAAATATGAATGATAAAGCCTAACTTCAGAAAGCAGAGATGGAAAAGAATGAGTAACACTGCTCAGTTTTCTTCTGGTAGATGAGACTGTGAAATAAGAACTACTGATAAGCTTTTCTGTGAGGAGGAAGGTCTGAAGGGTCAGAGTGTAAATTAGGCTTAAAACTTTCCTCAGGAGTTCTGCCAGCCAAGTGCTCTTTGTAAATATTTCATTATTAACCTCAGAGACACTGCCTCATCACACCTTGAGGTTTTTTGGCAGCTGACAGCTAAATCCTGTGAGCAGTGACATTGGTTATCAGATGCTCTTATCACTCCTCCCCAAAGCTCTCAAACCCCAAACCAGGATGATGAAGAGGGATCCTCCCCAGCAGCCTTGTTGGGAAGGTTAATGGGACTGAACTGCAGCCAGGCCAGGGCAGGCTGTGGGAAGAAGGACAATTTGCACTGTTGGGGCCTGGGCTGTAGCCAGTCTGGGGATAATTAGCCACTCTCCATATCCTTGAAGCCTCTTTTCACCAGCAAAACCATTTCATGGCAAAAAAACCCCCAAAAAAACCCAAAAAACCAAACAAAAAAACAAAACAACAACAACAACAACAACAACAACAAAAACCCAAAAAAAACCCCCCACTAATTGCCCTAGCAAGCTTTGAAAATGGGTTTGGAGAAGGTGCACATTCAGAGAGCCCTAAGAGCAGAAATTCTCCCTCACTCCAGCTAGGCCCACCCAGTAGTGAGATGGATGGATGGATAATCCCAAGTGGAATGCTTTATTCAGGAAATCAAAGGTTAATGGGCTACTTTTTAAATGGAAATCTCTGCTCCAGAATGAATTTTGAAACACAGAGGCTTTTGCAGTGTATAGGCCAAGCAGCAATGAATCACCCAACAAAACCACTCATCTGCTTCTGTTTCTCTCTTACAATTTCACATTTCTAGGGGCTTGAATCCTGAGGGTTTCCACATGATTTCCTCCTGGACACTGTACTCAGCCTGCAGAGTGCAGGAAACTCTCTTCCTTATGGATTTAAATTAAAAATCCAGCCTTTTCTCAGTCTTAACCTGTTCTGTCGCAGTCCCTTCAATTATTGCAGGTACATAATTTGAAGCAAACAGACACAGGGTGAGATAATGGTGTTTGTGGGAGATCTTAGAACAGCACAGACCTTGGACTGGGACAAAGAAAATTAAACTCCTTCCTAACTAATTTGAAATAATCTCTGACTAAGCAACCTCAGCTATAGGCTTGAGTGAATTTTGTGCAGCTCCGGAGTCACATTCATTTAAATAGTAAAATAACATCTATGTGGTCTGAAAGCAGGAGTTCAATTATTCCAATCCCTCTTTTCTCCATGGCACAGAAGAGAGAGGGGATTCCCTTTGTTAAGTGTTTATCAGGCAATCCCAGTGGTGCCCAATCACCCCCCCCAGCTCCTCTCTGCAGGGCAAGCTGGCGAAGGCCTTTGTGCTGGTAAATCCCATTTGAATATTTGGAGAGCTTCCACTGCAGCTTTTGTTTTGTTCTGAGTGTCCAGAGCAGATGAGGGCTCCTGCCCTCTGCTCTGTGCACCCCAGCACAGCAGAGTGGGATTGCATCAAAGCTTTCCCCTTCAGCCTGCTTCCAGTCCGAGAAGCTGGAACTGGGAACTGCAGGAGCTTTGCTTATTCCCTTCTGTGTATTTAGGGTGGCAGAGTCCCATGGCACAGAGATGCACATGTGGCTCTGTGCAGGTAAAAGAAGGGCTGCAGAGCTGTCCAGGGCAGCCTGACACATAAGGAGAGAGGCTGGTGCTCCCATCCCAACATATATTGGCCAAATTTAAGTTTAGTCTGGGGTTAAGGCCACACCTAGAAGTTTAAGCTTAGTGGTACAATGAGAATACTTGATTTTATCATGAAATCTCTGCTGTTCTGTAAAAACCTCTGCTGTAGAGTTAATATTCTACCAGGAAACTCTTTCTAGAAATATTTTTCCAAGCAGAATTTATTTATTTCATGAGCTTTCTACCATTCATGTAACCCTAAATTTCACTACATTTCCTGTTGCTTTGACACTATTTTCATCCTCTTGTTCTGCATGTGAAGCAGATCTTCAAGGAGAGACAGCGTAAATCCTGCTTGGAAAAATATTTCTAGAAAGAGCTTCCTGCTAGAATATTAAATCTAAACTATAATAGAATCATCAAATCATTAAGATTGGAAAAGGTCTTTAATATCACAATAGAATTATAGAACCATTAGAATTGGAGAAAATCTTTAATTTCATTGAGTCCAACTGTCCAGAACACTGATAGAAAAAGGAATGTGATAAATGCTAACACCTTAAAAAAAAGGAATTAATGACATTTAAAACCAGAGTAAGGAAAGCAGGGCAAAGCACCATAGCTGGAAATGCCAGCTGCTGTGAAGCTTGGCCCCTTGGAAAGAAACACTTCTCTAAATCTGAGAGACTTTGGCTGTGGAGGAAGGTCCAAGCTGAGCCAGCTGGGCCTCTGGGCAGGTGAGTTTTCTGCCATGCAGGGACAGAAACCACTTGACAGAAAATAAAACAATCAAGCTGTTGGCAGGAGGGAACCAGATTGTAATTTTACTGCTGTTTAGTAATGTGTTGGAAATAAAATTGTTTTAATTTTTGACTTCCTCCTGAAGGAGCCTGATTTAACACCTTCAAGAGCTCCTTTTGGTGGAGTTTAAGGTACCTTGATTAGTCTTGGGTTTGAGCCCAGGTATTTTCCTGCTGCTAAGCAGAGTTAATTACAGATGGAAGTGCTGGCAATAAACATAAGACAGAAGTGTGTTGAAAAGCACAGAGCAGTTGTTTTACCTCCAATGAGACAAAGGGAGTATCCTGCACCTGCAGAGAGATCTGCTCCCCATCTATGGTGAACTTCCTGGAATACAAAGCACCTGGGGGAGAAGGAAGATGTTAGTCAGGGACTGTACCAGAGAACCAAATTCACAAGGGAAAGGTAAAATGGGACTGTTGGAATCCAGGGCTTTGAGGTTTAGGATGTGGAGCTGCCTGTAGAAAAGTGACTGGCCCTGCAGAGTTTGTGTGGCTGTTTGCTCAGCAGAGTGGGGTTGTGTTTGCTGTGTGGAGACATGTTCTGAATGTACAGCCAGCCTGGGGGCTGGGAAGGGGACACTCAGGACTGAGTCACAGGCTCAAAGTGGGCACATAAATCCCACTCAGGTTTCCAGTCCATATTGTCAACTTTAAATAAAAGTGCAGTTCACTTTTATAATCACAAATTAAGACATCCAGGTGTGGTTGGTGAAAGAAGTGAGAGCTTCCTGCTGCATTTTTCTGAATGCCTTTAAAAAAGGAAAGTGCTCTGGTTTTGGACACAGAGTGAGTGACTATACAAATCCCCCAGGTGCTTTTTGGGGTTTGTGTGATTTCAGCAGAGTTTGGTTGAAATCCTCAAAAGCTGGACACCTTAAACCTGACTTTGGTTAATTTGGAGGACACATACTCCAGCCAAGTACCAGTTCTACCCACCTAGGCCTGATCTAGCTCTGATCTAACCAATGCTATCCTGGGTTTGAACTGTATTTTGTTACTGCAGTTGAGTTAAATGACAATGAAAATTAAGGTCTTGATTTTATGAGCTCTCTGTGGTTGTGACAAGGACAGCTTCAGAGGTTGATGTCATCATCATTTTTCTTTAGAACTTAACAGGAGTCACATGGGGCTGTGAGGAAATGCTAATCCACAGCTGCTGTGTACAGCCCTTCTGTCTTGCCCCAGTACAATTGTCACTGCTGCCTCCAGAACAATGTCAAATGTGGAGAAATCCACCCACTGGAGAGCAAGGAATTCAGATTAACAGGGAGCCCAGCTAGTAACAGTAATGCCCTCACTTCTGAAAATCAGCTTTGTTTCAAGGAAACAAGTGATTTTATTCCAGTGGAAAAGAGCCTGAGCTCACAGAGCATTTTCAACACAAGGAAATTTAGCACTGAATCCCACATTATCATATCATGGTAAATACCGTGAGGGGATCCAGCCCTGGTGGGATTTGGTTTGTATTTAAACACAGACCTGATTTAAAGCTGTAAAGATGGTTTTATGAGAAGGCACTGCACCCCCTGAACCAAACAACCCCATGTTCCCATTCCACGATGCCCTGCAGAGCAAAGAGCAGGTGCTGCCAGGCACTGCCCCTGCTCTGCCCAACGGTGCCTGGCACAAGGATAAGCAGGGCTGAGTGATCCCAAGGGCACTGCCACCTGTTCCTTATTGCTGGGATATTCACCTCTCCTGCAGCATGGCCCTGGGCCTGGGAGCTTAATGGGAAAAGCATGTGGCTCCCAGCACTGCTCTGGCAGCAATCCCTGCACAGCTCCCAGCTCTCACTTGATGTACAACCTCCCAGAGAAGAGGTGACAGAAGAGAAGGAGCAAAAGTGCAGCCAACCATCAGGGTTACTTGGGGTCAGGGAGGGGGAGCTGGAAGGAGGAGCTTTCAGAGTTCATTTCCTCAGATCAAAGGTGTCTTGTGCCGCTCCCTCCTCATCCTGAGCTCAGCAAGCATCTCCAAATTGAAGCATTTTCTGAATTCTGCCCACCCTCACCCCAAAATTGTGAGGTGGCCAATGTATGGGCTGTGCAGTAGGGGCCAGCACAGGGGGTACATGGATCCATCCTACAGCACTGGCCAAATCAGTCAGTGTTTTCCTGGAACGGTTCACATGAACACACCCTCTGGATTAAACAAGAAATGAATGGTTGCTTTGCTTGGTACTTATGAAGAGAAGGGTTCAATTTCAAGGTTTCCCTGATTATAATAGCCCCTGAAATAAAGGGAATGCACAGAAAAGGTTCTGAAGTGCATTTACACTCCTCAGAATTCCTCTGCCTTCCCTGGGGTTGCGGGGGGAGCAGCATTGGGTTTCTATGGTTTAGTGGATGTGTAGGTTGTTCCTTGAGCCTGTGTTTCAGTATAGGTATGTCCCCAAGCAAACCTTTTACTCTGATCCTTTTCCATCAATTTGGGGAGAAAAACCAGCTGAAAGGATCATAAATAATGAGCCTTTGATTTATTGCTTTCATAGCTCGAGGCTATTAACTGAAAATATGCACTTATGGACATCTAACACCACTTGGCTTCCCTGTAACGTGCACCAGTCACAAAACAGAATGGATTTCTTTTCCAGCTCTCTGCAGTGCTGCTGGGGAGAGCAGAACTCACCAGTGTTGGCTTCATAGTCCCCAATAAATCTCTTTGTGAGAAAGCGCACGACCAGGGCTGCAAAACAACAGAAAGATGGGTCCTTAATGAGAGCCCTGATCCGCCCTGGCACAGCTCGTGGGACATCTTCCTGCAGGAAAGAGTCTCACACCAAACCAGGTTAATCTCTGGATTGGTCACATGTTGTTCTGCAAGAGCTGCTCTCAACTCCCAACACTCCCAGACAAAGATCTGGGGCACCCAGCACAGAGTTTTTCACAGCTCGTGTTGGAAATGAGCCCTGAGATTCAGGGTGGCAGCTCAGCGAGGGATAGGGAGGTTGTTTCCCTGTGATTGCAGGTAAAGCAATCTGTCCTTTGCTCTGAAATAATCTAGGAGAAGAGTAACAAGCCAGCAGACTGCAGCTAATCCAAATTTAAGCATTTTCTGTCATGCAAGAAGTGAGGCTGATGGATGGAATGGTTCTTTCCAGCCTTAAAACCTCTCACAAAACCCATTAGTGATATCTAATCACACCCAGCAAACAAACTCCATGTGCCCTGCACCCTTGGGTCATGCTGGAGCACCCTGGGCTTTCTTATGCACTTTAACCTGAGCTGCTTTCTTAAACGCTTTGAAAAGAACATTTTCCTTCTTCTGTATAAAACACTTAAATCCCATTGTGGCAACAGTGGGATTTTATATTCTTGTGGTGCTTTGATCTCAGAAGATTCCTAGTAACTTGCAAACCACTTAAGAATTAAATAAAATGTCTTATTCTGTATGCAACATTATTTTATAATAGATTTCATTTCAAGCAGTATGTTTTTCTCACAGTGATGCTGGGTCATGCTTTAGCACCTTTAGATGAAATTGCCTGTGCAGCTATCTTCAAGAAACTATTTTAAAATAATATGAAGATGTGGCTGCTTAAAAACCAAAAAAATCAAACATTTTGCTGAATCCCGTGGAACCACAGATGCAATAAATCAATCTGCTTTTCATAATTCCTGAAATCATGGACCAGATATTCAAATGCACCAAAGCTCTCTTTACCTTCTTTTCTTCCATTCTCCTTTGGAGAATAATAAAGGCACATCTTGTATGCTGTAATTTGTCTGCAGAGCATAAAACACAGCAGGAGGACAAAAGCCACCTTTTGGGGTGTGGAAATTTAGCTTAAAGTTAAATAATTTGTACAAGACTAGGTAGAAGCATTTGTGAGTACAAAACTTGCTGCTGGCTCATGTTGGCTTCTACAGCAAATCTGCCTCTAAAAAAACTTTTTTAAAAAAAGAAAGAAAAAGAAAGAAAGAAAAATAAATCAGGCAAGTTGAAATAGTGAAGCTGCGGTACATTTTTCGAGTTTGGGTGTGTCTGGCAGCGAAGGAGCTGAGAAGGAAAAGCAGGGCACACACCTGAGACTTACCTGTCTTGCCCACGCTGCTGCCGCCCAGCACCACCAGCTTGATGATCTTGTTGGGCGCGCAGTCCAGCGCGGGGTACTCCGGGATGGGCAGCAGCAGGAAGTTGGTGGAGTACTGCGACATCGTGTCCTCAGCGATGAGGAGCATGCCCGAAGGCACGGCCGCTCAGCCCGGGCTGCGGGGGAAAGCGGCGGCGCGGCTCCGCGGAGCCCGTCCCCGCCCGGCTGTCCCGGCCGGGAGAAGCGCTCTCATCCCAGACGTTCTCCCCAGGAATGCGGCAGCGCCCGGCCGATGCCTCTGCTCAGACAGCGACTTTGGAGAGCCGAAGGGAACTTTTTGATCAGCCCCCGTGAAAACTGACTCCAGCATCCCGCAGCCAATCACGAGGGGACCGGGACATTCCTGCAGCCGGGCACCGAGCGAGCTGCGCCTGCATCCATCCCTGCCCACGGCCTGCTCTGTGTGCTGGCTGCTGAAAAGCGGATTTTTGGGGCTTTACAGCCGTCACGGGAGCGCTCGGAGCGCGGCGCGGTCACGGCCGTGCCCGCCCGGCTCCTCCGCCCCGCTCCGCTGCTCTCCCCCTGCGCTCATTGTGTGCAGGCGGTGGGACCCCGCTCTGCAGGGCTACAAACACATTTCCACACCCCACACCCCCCCCTGCAGCTGTGGGGTATTCCAAAATCCCAGCTGACATCCCGTGAATGCTCCGGGATACATTTGATCCGCGGCTTTTGTGAGTCCTAAAGGGCCGCTGGAACGCGGGGCAGCGCTGGGGTGGGACACTGCAAGCTCTCCAAGCGTGGGGAAGGGGATTTAGGGCTGGTGACAGACTTGGGGAGATGAGGAAGGGCTGGGTGGCTTTCACAGGGAATGAGGAGAGAATGGCTTCTCTAGGAAAGCTGAGTGGGGTTTTAGGACAGCTGGCAGGGTCTGTGGGATGGCAGGCTGGAACTGAACACTGGCTACAATCAGCTCTCAGCTCTCTGGGATAACAGGGAGGGAAGAACACTGGGGAGGGAGTGACCCAGATAAAGCAGAACTGAAAATAATACAAAACAGATGTAAATTAAACTTTAAAAAATAATGTAGTTGGAGCATTCATCTTTGGAAAACTCCTTGGACGGGAGCAGAGGCAAGGCTGGGACATGGACTCTGTCAGGCTGTGTGGGAGATGTGGATGGGAATGGAGAGCAAAGAAATCCCCCCACAGCTCATGGGGACCTGGGAATGCAGATTTTCTGCAGGCAGGAGATGGGCTTGGCTCACTCTGCAGAGGCTGCAGCCACCAAAACGTCTCTCTGTGCCCAGCAGCTCTCACGGCTCAGCTCTGACCCACAGCACACACCTGAGCCTCCCAGCAGGGTCCAGAGCCAGCCTGGGCTCCCAGGGGATGGGGAACCAGGGCAGGGCTCTGGAGCTCTGCCCCTTCCCAAAGCACCCATCCCAGCTTCCACACCAACACCTCACAGCTTGTGCTGCGTGTGAACCGCCCTGAGGAAAACCCAGCTCTGGGGCTCAGCAGTGCACTGAAATCAGCACAAGAATCCCAAGATTTATGGACATGTCCCTTTTCCAAGGTTCTGTTTCCCCTCTAAAGCCTCCATGTGCAGCAGTCTTTGTGCAGTGATGCTCTGCAAGCTCCCAGTGTTGTTCCTTTGACCATCCTGGCAGCTGATGAAGAGGAGGAAGAAAGGTCTGGAGGGTGATGCAGCTCATGGAACTGGGAGGGAGCTGCTGGATCCTGTATCTTTTGGGACATGGCTCCTGTGGGAATGTTCCACTGTCAATTTGCTTCCAGATTTTTGCAAAACCCCAAACACTGGGGACAAAAAATCTTTTCCAGTAAATTTCTTTACTGAGGTGCTTTCATCTCACACAAGTTCTGTAAGAAGAGGCAAAAGGATAGGAGGAATAGGAAAAAAGCTCAAAATCTTGTGGTCAATTAATAGGGCAGCATTTTGAAATGTGTTATTGAGCAGGCCAATGATAAATTTGGGATTAGTTAGCAGCAGTAAGTCACTGTCTGCCTCTCCGAGTGCTGGAACCTTTGTTCCCTTTTGCTATTAAAAGCATATGTTAGTGAGTAATATAAAACCATTCATCACAATAGTCCTCCTCCAAAAGCAAACAGCTGTAGATCTGTCAGCTTCTAGGTGGCCAGAAGAGCTTCAGCTCAGGAAAAAAAAAGCCAGATAAGTTCAGAAAGATCATGGAGAATATTCTATACAAGCAAAGACATTCCTGGAAGAAAACAGCTCTGCTGGCTTGCTCCAGGAGGGAGGCACATTCAACTGAAAAAAAAAAAAAAAGTCAAAATCATTTTGGGTAACCAAATGTGGTGCTGAGGAACACAGAAGGGAGTCAGAGGCACATGGAGGGTGAGCTTTGGCCTGGATGAATGTGAGGCAGACACAAAGAATGCAAACTGTGCTCAAAGGATGCTGAGCTTGGATGTGGCACTCGAAAATCAGGAGTGCCAAGCACGGGCATGGAGCAGCTGCTGCATGAGGAGGGGCAGGGAAGCTGCTCCATGTGCTTCAGGGCTGGATCTGCTGCTGACACGGGAGAGGGGATGTGTGGGGGCAGGAATGAGACAGCAGTGCTGCAGGAAATGTCAAACTGCTGCTTTTGGCAGCTCCAAGGGCTTCTGGTTGCTTAAAACAAATGTGAAAGCAGTTTCAGGCTGCATGTTGGAAGCAGAGCAGTGGAGCTCGAGTTCCTTTGCTGATATGGTTCAATATGAGTTTCTTCTGCACCAGCCCTGGCTTCTTGTGCTTCTCCCAAAGCTGGCTCCACCACCTGCAGGAATCTCTGTGAAGAGAGAAGGGCTTTTAGTACAAATAAAAAAGTTGGGCATTCTCACAAAGTTTTCCATCTACTCTCAAGCTCCCCTCTCCTCTCAGAATTAAAGCCTCTCTTTGAGGCTTTAATTCTGAAAGGATTCAAGTAAAATACAGAATCAAACCCAGGGGTTTTCAGACATGGTCCTTGTCTGATTTTCTAGATTGCCCGAGCAGCCTTTCCAGGGAGTGGAGCCGCGCAGAAGGATTCACACTCTCTGAGATTGTGTAACCTTGGCATGTGGAGTAACAATTATTTTTAAAGGAGATATTCATTGTTTGTGCACAATGGACTTATATTTAGCTAAGAAACCCAAGTTTTAAATACAAATTCTCTTGGAAAAACAATAGCTTAAATTAGAGGGAGAATGTTTGCAGAACTGAGAGCGACTCTGGAAACATTTGGATGGTTCTGGAGGTTTCACTTTACCACCCCTTGGGCTGCTCATGCAAAGATCTGTGCCTTTGCATGGTGCAGAGACTGTTATTTCCACACCAAATTTTTTACAGATTTATTTACTGCCTTGTGTTGCTTTTGGCTCTGTTTGTTAGAAGATTTTCTATTTATATTGTTGTTGGCCCTCCTACACATTTTCAGAGACGGAGCTTGCTAAAAATAAAAGAATTTGCCATGACATAGTGCCCGTCACAGGAGGATGTCAGAGTGCTTTAAAACTGGTTGTAATTATTCCTCATGCATTGTAAAAAAGGAGTAAGAGATTAGCAGAGCCTGAGAGACCTTGCTAAGGCCCCAGCATGTTGGGAAAATGTTTCTCCTTCTTCCTAGCTCTGGCAGAAAGGTTTTTTCCTCCAGAAGTCCATTTGTAACCATAACATTTGCCTCTGGTACATCTTTCAGAGAATATATTGATGTTCAGGGGACTTGGAAGGAGAAACAGGGCTGGTTTTGGAGCAGAAATGGGAAATGTGCCTGTGGGGAAGTGCCAGGGGCTGTGGCAGATGTTGACACAGAACTCATGACTGGCAGCTCATGCACACACCCCTGAATTTACTCCAACCAACAAGAACTGATCCCTGCAGCTCCCTCTACCCCTCTTTGTTGGGGCCCAAATGTCACTTCTGACACTGCACTCAGGAGGTCTTTGAACCACCTTTTTGCTCCCAGGAACTGAAGACCTCAAAGCTGGGAAAGGCAAAGGAGGAGGAGACAAGAAAGGATCAAACATGAGTGTGGTGTGCTCGGGGAGCCAGCCTTGGCCTGTGTGCTCAGAATTCCACCTTGCTGAGTTTGGATGAATTCAAAGTGCATCTCTGTGCTCCAGCAGTGACCTCTGAAGACATCTGGGGACAACACCACAATTTTAGCCCCAAAATTCTACTCAGCACAAAGTTGTTCTGATCCTGAGGCCAAAGGGCAAGGAAATGTCCTCAGATTCTGCTGCAGCAGCTGTGATAAATCATCTTTGTTTCTATTTTGGTATTTAAGAGAGATGAACATTTAAATACACATTTTAATCTGGTCAAACACTGTACAGCTTCCACAATTTCTGCATTTCCTGTCCCAAATTATAAAGCACTGCCATTCATGGCAACCCTGTAAGGGGCACATGGCCCTTTTCACTTTGGGGATATTTGGTAAGGATTGGGGTTTTTGTGTTGCTGAGGCCTGTCCCTGGGGGAGCCTGTGGCAGATGACGTGGGAAGCCCAATGTGTGTAGGAGAACATCTCTGCAGGCCAGCAGCTCAAACAGAATGGAAACATCTCAGCCTCATAAAAAATCCCTGCTTTGGAAACAGAACTGTTCTCCCTTCCCCACAGATATTCCCACAAGGTCAGGGCTGGAGTGTAGAAATAACCCTGGCACAGGTGGGAATGTGAGCTCCCAGTGCCTCAGCAGAGCTCCCAGAGCTCGTGGGTGATGGGGAGAGGCTGGAGCCTCCAGGCTGGGCACAGCTCTGGGTCAGGATCAGCCCCATCCCGAATTCCTGCCCGTTCCTTGCTGTTTCCCAGGGCTGTTCCTTCTGAGATGTGTTTGCTGTCACTGTGCCCTGCAGGATGAGCTCTGTGGTGTCTCAGGCACGCTTCCCATTCCTTCTCCCACAGGATTTACAATGGGCACTGCTGTCATTCACAGAATTCACAGAAGGACTGGGTTGGAAGAGATCTTCAAGATCATCGAGTCCACCCCAGCCCCAACACCTCAACTCAACCCTGGCACCCAGTGCCACATCCAGGTTTGTTTAAACACACCGAGGGATGAGGATTCCACCACCTCTCTGGGCAGGACATTCCAGAACTTTCTATAAAAACATTTTCCTAACATCCAACCTGTATTTCCCTTGGTGCAGTTTGAGGCTGTGTCCTCTGGTTCTGTCAGTTCCTGCAGGAAGAGCCCAGCCCCAGCTGAGCACAGCCACCTTTCAGGAGCTGTGGGGAGTGCTGAGGTCACCCCTGAGTCTCCTTTTCTCCAGGCTGAGCACCCCCAGCTCCCTCAGAGGTTCCTCACAGGATTTGTGTTCCAGCCCCTCTCCAGCCTTGTTTGCCCCCTCTGGACACGCTCCAGGTCCTCAATGTCCTTCCCAAACGGAGGGGCCAGAAGTGGTGAGGTCACACTGGAGGTGTGCCCTCACTGTGCCAGGTACAGGGGCAGGATGGCCTCCCTGCTCCTGTTGGGCACAGCTCTGGGTCAGGATCAGCCCCATTCTGAATTTCTGCCCGTTCCTCGCTGTTTCTCCCTCTGAGATGTGTTTGCTGTCACTGTGCCCTGCAGGATGAGCTCTGTGGTGTCTCGGGAACGCTTCCCACTTCTCCCACAGGATTTACAATGGGCACTGCTGTCATTCGTGGTGCTGAGCTCCCAAAGAGCCTTTTTGTCACCCTGCTGGGTGGGATGTGCGGTAATAGCAGAGGATCCCTGGGCAGCACCACTGTCCCACCCCATCCCAAAATCCCGCTGCCACAACCTCTGCAAGGAGTCTTGGGAACCAGAGAGTTCCAGCAGGCACCTCCGAGGGTTCTGTGCTCTGGGGTGCTGCAGTGTCCCTTGGTGGGGTTTTGGTGACATCCCCTGAGCCCCGGAACCCCGGGAGCTCAGTGGGAAGAGGCCCACAGGGATCAGGGAACCACAGACTCACACAATATTATGGGCTGGGAGGGCCCTAAAGCCCCTCCAGTGCCACCCCTGCCATGGCAGGGACACCTCCCAATGTCCCAGGCTGCTCCCAGCCCTGTCCAGCCTGGCCTGGGGCACTGCCAGGGATCCAGGGGCAGCTACAGCTGCTCTGGGAAAACTGTTCCCCATACTGATCCCAGTCCCATCCTGGTCCTGTTCCCACTCCCATCCTGATCCTTTTCCCATCTTGGTCTTGTTCCCATCCTAGTCTTGTTCCCATCTCTGATCCTATTCCCATTCCCAATCCCATTCCTGATCCCATTCCCCATTCCCCATTCCAGATCCCTTTCCCAATCCCATTCCCATTCTCAGTCCCGATCCCATTCCCCATTCCCAGTCCCATTCCAGATCCCTTTCCCCATTCCCCATTCCCCATTCCCATTCCCAATCCCATTCCCAACCCCATTCCCAATTTCCGTTCCCGATCCCATTCCCCATTCCCGATCCCATTCCCCATCCCAGTCCCATTCACATTACTGATCCCATTCCCATTCCCCATTCCTGTTCCCATTCCTCATTCCCCATTTCCATTCCCCAATCCCATTCCCATTCCCGTTCCCATTCCTGATCCCAATCCCGATTCCCGTCCCCATTCACATTCCCAAATCCCGATCCCATTCCCCATTCCCGTTCCCATTCCCCATCCCCATTCCTGATCCCATTCACATTCCCAAATCCCAATCCCATTCCCCATTCCCGATCCCATTCCCATTCCCCCATCCCTATCCCATTCCCCATTCCCATTCCCCATTCCCATTGCCATTCCCATTCCTGTTGCCGTTCCCATTCCCATTCCCATTCCCATTCCCATTCCCATTCCCATTCCCGTTCCCATTCCCCATTCCCATTCCTGTTCCCGTTCCCATTCCGGTTCCCCAGCCCGGTCCCCCCGGACCGAGAACGCCTCGGAACGGTGTTTGCGCGGCGCGGGCGGCGCGGTTTTCGCGGCGCACGGGCCGGGCGGGTTACCGGGTGCGCAGCTGGCGCTGTCAGTCGCGGCCCAAGATGGCGGCGGCCGGGGGCGGATGGAGGCGCTGGTGACGGTGCGGAGACTCGCCGCCGTCTGTACCATGGTGAGAGCCCGCGGGCCGCTCCCCGGGGGCTCCCGGCCTTGGGGGCCCGCCCTCCGCGCCGTGCGGGCGGAGAAGCGGTTCGGACCCATCGCTGCGGGAGGCCCCGCCGCCGGCACCGGTGTCTGAGGGGCCGGGACGGGGCGAGGGGAGCGCGGCCGGGGCTCGCAGGGATTTGGGATAATGGGGCTGAAATCCGGTGGGAAAGGTGCAGAAACGCGAACTCGGCGCTCCCGGTGGGTGTGTCTGCCGCCGCCTGTGCCCTGAACTGTTTTTCGGGCCGGTTGGTGCTGCCTTTCGGAGAGAAAAGGAATAATCGGTCATTAATTGGCCTTGTGCCCAGGTCGTAGTGGCTTGTTGCGATAACTGAGTTCCTTTTAAAGCTCGTTCTACTCGTTTGTCAGAGCTCTGCAGTCTCTCCACGTGCATGCGTGTCCCGGCACCGTCCGGGAGAGCGGCAGGCTGCTAACTGCGTGATTATGCAGAATTTTTAATGAAGTTCCGCCGCTGTGTAAACAGAGGCCGGGGTGGCCGGGCTGAGCTATTGCCCTGTGAGTGTGCTGTGTCCGGCCGTGGGACGCCGGAGCTGCGCTCCCAGAACTCCGGGAGCGGTTCCCAGAACTCCGGGAGCGGTTCCCTCCAGGACATCGCTCTGGGGCTGCCCGCCTGGAGCACTTCTGTTTTCACAGTGCCGCCCTTCCACCGCTCAGCTTCCCCTTCTCCCTTCTGCAGCCTCGGCAGGGTCACGCCTCTTCCCTGGCTCTGTTTCACCCGGGTGGGAAAGGAACAGGATTTTCCTACTTTGCCATGCAGGTGCTGGCTCCCAGTGTGACTCCAGGCCCGGCTGAACTGAACCAGTACAAACTGGGCATTTGCAGTTTCACACCCCTAACTAGAGACATTAATCTTTGCTTTTCAAATCCCTGGCCGTGGAGACCTCCCTGGAAGTCCTTGGGAGAAGGCTTCCCAGGACTTTATCCTTCCCTAGTCTCACTAAATGGGTTTTTTTTTCCCTAGATAATTTGTATTTTTTAATTGCTGTCACAGACACAGGTGAGGTGAAGGCCTTGAGAGGTGAGTCACAAATTTGCTGAGGAGTTCTGAAGCCCAGAGGCAGAGATTGACTCAGTCCCTGGAATATTTTGGATGCATTCCTGAGAGCAGCTGGCTGAGTGTTGGATTGAGAGGGCAGAGGGAAGGCAGAGCATTTCCCTGGGACTGTGCAGCCAGACTGAGCACATCCCAGTGGGGTTTTGGCAGTTTTGCTCCTGTGCCTGCCTGGATTTTGGTTGGGATGGTGGATGGAAGCTGGGCAGGTTCCTCCCATTCCCCTCCTGGAGTTCTGGGGCTGTTCTTTTCCAAGAACTGCTGCAGCTCTGGGGAGGCAGGTTCTCCCACATGTTTCAAGTGGAGAATTTGCTGCTTCAGTTCTGTGCAGAAATCACAGAACAGTGCTGGTAGCACTAAATGTTTGTATGAAACTGGCTTCCAAATTTCTTAATTAGTTGTTTAATAAATGCTGTGGAATCTGTCAGCATCATCATTTTAGGTGCATGTGTAGCTTGGCTAAAATTCCTGTCAGTATTAACATTTATTCCCTCATCTAGCCCAGGAAATTAAGGTCTGGGTGCTGTATTTTGAAACTGGATGAGTTTATTTGCATGTCCAGCAAGTAAAAATACTCTTTGGTTTGTCATAAAGGTAGATGAAAAACCTGAGATTTCTTTACAAAAACATGGAAATACATGAACAGAATCCCTTTGGGAGCTGCTTTCTTCAGGATTATGCTAATCTATAGTGATTCTACAGGACTTGACTTTTTTTTTTTTTAGTAAAACATGAAGTTTTTGCCAGCATTTCCAGTCATCACCTGTCCTCCAGGCTGGAAAAATGAAACCCAGGTTTGTGCCATTGTCAGACCCTTCAGCATCACAGGGACTGCTGTTCCTGACTGCTTCTCATTTCTCTCAAATATCTCTTTAAAAATGAAATTCTGAGCTCATTAGCAGCCAGTAATGAGGTTGAACTTGAATCATCTCCCCCTCCCTAAAATTGCCTGTGGATCAGCTCTGCTGTGCCTCAGGGTGGTGGCATTTTGTGCACCATCCCTTTTCCAGGATTTTGATGCCTCACGTTTTGGCTTTTATATTTTTCAGATTCTGTGCTGCTTTAGTGTGTGGGTCTGAGCTTCATATTATGGGATGGTGAGCTCTCTTCACAGAGTAGGGAGACAAAACAATTCCTGCTCCAGCTGGGACTGAGGACAAATGATCCAAACCTCATCCCAGGAGCACAAACAGCGTGGGCTGGAGAGAGAAAAACAAGCAGGGTGGGACTGCCTGGGCTGGAGCTGGAATGGGACAATGAACTCCAAGGTGCAAATGGGGCAGAACTGATCCCAGGGAGAGCCCCGGGAGCGCTCGTGCATTTTGGGACCATTTTGGTTCATCCTGGGTGCAGCCCTGGCTGTGCTCTTGTGCTGCCCAAGGTGGGTCCATGGAAGAGATCCTTTGAATAAATCCCTGCTTTATTCTCTGTCCAGCCTCTGCTCTCGATCAGCCTTCACAAGGCATCAGTTCCATCACATCCGTGTGGCAGCTCCAGCCTGGCCAGGACTGGGAGCTGGGAGGGAGCAGGGATTGTTGATCTGGATGTGATTCATTGCTTGGGGAGGCTGCTGACACCACATGGAAAGCACAGCCATGGCCAGGAGCCGCTGCCCCAGCTCTGCTTCCCTGGCACCAGCTTTGTGTCCCAGCCCTTCCCTTTGCTCTGGCCTTTGGGGGTTTTTCCTTCTGTTTGCAGGCAGTTGCAGCATTGAGGGAAATGGCAGCAGGGATGGAAGCAGAAAGCACTGCTGAGGCATTTTGCATAAAAAATCTACAGCTGCTGTTTCAGAAGTGTACAAAGGGGAGATCTGTGGGTCTGGGGTGGATAGGTGGGAATCATCCTTTGGCTGAGGAGAGTGAGGAGGGCAGAATTCCTTGGGTCTGGCTGCATCCTCTGACCAAGATGTATTTTCTATGCTCTGAGGCAGTTGGAGAACTGAGTTTCTGAGTCACAAGTTGAGGAATTTGTTGAATTGACAGAACTTTTGGAAGAGGAGACCAGAACTTGAGAAAGGAGCAAGGTGCAAAGCCCAGAGTTGAGCTTTTCCTCTCTGGCAGCTTGTGAGGAGTCTGTGAGCAGAATATTGTTTCTTGTAGGCAATTAGGGCCACTTCCTCTAGATTCATGTCTAATTGTTGGTTAAACCAGTAGGACATGCCTGAAGAACTCCAATCCAGGCTACAAATTGAGGGTAGTCTTACATACTCTGAATTAGGACATAATGATTGACTTCAGTGCTGGAGGGGAGGTGGCTGCAGCATTTGTAAGTCCCACATTTCCATTTGCCACCTGAATTATTTACACTGGGCAGCTCAAGCAGATCTGTGGTGTCTCTGGTGTGTAATGTCACCTCCCTGCTGTCACCTGTAGCTGTAGGACTTTGCTTTGGCTTTATCTGAGAATTAACATTTATAGCATTTATTTTTACCACTGGAAGAAGGGAGGGTGAAGTACAGCTGGCTAAGCAGATTTCTGTCTCTAGCAGTGCTCTGCTTCTTGAATGACTTGTTAACCTGAAAGAATCCAAATATTCATCTTTGCACTTAAAACCCAGCCTGAGAATAACTGAGAATAATTGTTTTTTGGGGAAAATAAATACATAACCTTTTGCAAAGCAGGGAGGAGGTCACTTCCAGGTTTCCCCACATGCTGTTTGTATTCTGGTTTAATTCTGTGTGTGATGGGTGTTTATTGCTGCAGATCTGGGGCTTCTGACAGTTTGGGCTGGAAGCAAAGGCAGCCTGCAGTTCAGGTGGAACACACAGCTTCCCTTGGAACGAGCTTTGGGATTTTACAGCAGTCCTGAAAGCATGAATGAGCTTTGGTGCTGTTCTGGTGTCTGCTCTGATTGTCTGTAAACTTTTAAAATGTCATGCTTTAGTTGTCCTCAGGAAAGTGAGAGATCATGAGAGATTCCAGCTGTGTTGTGCCTGGAGCTGAGGAAGCTGGGCACTCCGTGGTTCATTTGTTACAAGTAGACTGATTATATTAGAGGACTTCTACTTCAGAGCTGCTACCATTTAAAAATGAAGTGTGAATACCTGGGGAAGGATGCTAAAATAACAGAGTGTAGCTTGTTCAAGATGTGCTCTATTATTGAATCTCTGTTGTTTGGTTCTTTAATCAGGATTTACAGAAATGCTTTTATTGCCTTGGAATTCATCTGTTTACATGCACATCACTTGCTGTCTTGTTGCTATTAAAAAAGAAATGGTTTTCAGTGCTTGCTCCAGCAGATGTCAGTTTGGGGGATTCCTGCACTTGCTGCCAAAATAAAGGGCAGCATTGTGCATCATTATAGCTTGTTTGTATGTTGTATTTTCTATTTTCAGCTCCTTTTATAGTGAATACTTCAAGTGGGCTTGTAAAACAGATGGGGATAAGCTTTGTTATGAAAGGACAAGAGAGAATGGTTTTAAACTAAAAGTGGGTTAATTTAGACTGGAAAGGAAGGAATTTTTTCCATTATGGGTGGTAAAGCACTGGCACAGGTGTCCAGATCAGCTGTGGCTGCCCCTGGATCCCTGGCAGTGCCCAAGGCCAGGTTGGACAGGGCTTGGAGCAGCCTGGGACAGTGGAAGGTATCCCACCCTGGCAGGGGGTGGCACTGGATGAGCTCTAAGGTCCCTTCCAACCTAAACTATTCCATGATTTATCCACTTAACCTCTCATGCACTAAGCTGTGAATATATCTCCCCATTCAGACCCATTGATTGGCCCCACAGCTGAGTTTTACTGCTCTGTAAAATGTCTGAAGTTATAAATTAAATATAAACCTATTTATAAATCTTCACCCTCCCTCAGCATCCACTTCCTCACTCTCCACAGCATTGTCCCTGCACTGTTTGATGTGTGAGGCTCCTGATAAAATCTTACTGCCAGCTCACAAAAGAA